CGGGTCAGGTTTAAGGGTACGATCCCGTTGGAGGCCTCGTATTTTCGTGGCTCAAGTAAGAGCTCATTGTTGAGCGAAGCACGCGTCAAAGGTATAATCTTTTATCCTTTCTTGTGTGTTTAATTATGTTTTGCTTGTTAATTGCATTTATTATGGGGGCGGGTCTTGGCGGGTTTCATTCCGCGTAGTGTGGGTCACTACGAAACCCTATAGAAAATCAGCATTCTAAACAACCACTTCCGCAAAATAACAATTTATTTGACCTTACAACCAGTTACACATTTATCGGATACTCCAAAAGTCGACTTAACTTGGGTAACAGAATGGACCATCTTACCCTTCATATTCTTGTCGACCAAAGACACAACCTGTAACAATCCCTTTATACACTACAATTTTGTTTACAATTCTGTATTGTTGGATCACCCTTAAAAGCCTTAACATGATTCTTTCTAGTTGAACGAAGCTTGCCCAATTCTTGATACGCAGAAGCCCTCCTATCAAGAGCCTTAACATGGCAGGAATCAAATCTAACATGAAGGAATAAAGCTTAACATCAACATAATTATCATGAAGCTTCATGGTTTCCACTGAAGTTTCAACCTTAGATGGATTGTAGTTTAGACTTTTCACAATTTTGGGATAGAGGAACTAAATCAAAATGATATGGAATAATTAAATCTAAGCAAGATCAAATTGTAACCAAGGTTTAATAACAACTAAAATTGGTATCCTTCTTGGCAAATAACATATTCAATTCTCTTGCGGAAAACAATTCGTTGGAGTAATAATAATTGTAATGTAAATTGGAGTATTGCTAAGTGAGTTTTGTTACCCACTAGCGACTTTGTGTGCAAGGAGCTAGCAAGAGAACTATTGATCGCAAGGTAAGTAAGCTACTCAAGGCCGAGCTACGGAGAGAGCTATAGCTCGCAAGGCAAATGAGCTGCGGCAAGGCCGAGCTATACCTCGCGTGCGAGCGAGCGATAGCTCGGATGGTAGCTGGATGCTCGGTCAGCTTGCTTAGCAGGTGCGAGCGAGAGCTCGCGTGCGGGAGAGCGATAGCTTGCTGCTCGCTTGCTTGCGGCAGGGTCGAGCGATAGCTCGCTCGTTAACGAGCGAGAGCTCGACTGCACGTGGGATTGCTTGGAAGACCTCTTTGCTTGATTTACTTCTTTTTCTTCTTCTCATATAAATACTCTCCCTAGCCCCCAAATTGACATATACAATTTCTTATCTCTGAAACCCCAAACATAAACCTACCCTTTGAGATCTGAACAGTTCTTGAGTAATTCCACTCTTCGGGTTCGGGCACACGAATTACGAAGAGAGTTGTGTTAACATTGGGGGGCATGTGTCATCAGGAAACTTGTATGGTGGTGGCGTATTTTGTTTCTAATGCAGTAGATTTTGTTGTGCGGCACAATTGTATTATTGAGATCATCAATCAAGTATTTTTCCCTATCATCTTCTTTATATTATTTATTGGAATCGACAGGTATTTTACCAACACAATTCATACAGATTGATCAAACTATAACTCAAATTCAATTATCCACTAAAAACCTTACAGCCTAAAACCCTTTATATAGGCAAAATAAACTATTCAACTTTCTAAAAACAAGTGATAAATTAATCTCTAAACTAAATTCATCAAAATAAAAGATAAATAACAACAAAATACTATCTATAATAACCACCCAAAAGATATAATTTTAGTGGCTCTTCTACGTATCTTTATTTTAAGAGAGTTTACATCATTAATGTAAGACCCCAGGTCAACATGATCCCACTAGTATATATTGTCCTCTCTAGGCCCTAACACTCAAGGATTTGCTTTGGTGTGGGACACAAGTCCTACTTAAAAGGCCTCTACTAGGTTGAGGTATCAACCTCATATAAGGAAGGCTTTGTTCTCCTCAAATTCTGATGTGGGAGCGTCATAGGCACCTTTAGATTTCATGATTTTACACCGATTCTAGTGATTCCACTCTTGCAAAAAGTCTGATTTTCCGAAACTCATAACTTTTGATTGCAAAGATGGAATTGAGCTTACAATATATCATTGGAAAACTCTTAAGGTCTACTTTCTAACACAATTGGTCCTGTACCAATATCTTTTATATATTTTATGTTATAGCCTAAAGAGTGTAAGGGTGTCATAGTTGAGCCTAACTGTAGCCAATGACTTATAATTTAATCAATATAAATCTTAATTAAGCTTATGAAACATCAATTTAAAGAACCTTTGAAATTATATCCAACCATATAAATTTTTTGGGCAAAAGAATATATTCATGAGTCTATTTTCTTAACTATGGGCATATAAAACACTTTTGTAACATGAGTTTGTTGTAGTTATCATTCTTTAGCTATCTCTTTGAAATAAACTAACTTAACTTAGTATTCGATTATCATCAAATTTATTATTAGGGAAACAGTTTAGGAGTCAACTGTAGGGTTTCGTAGTGACCCGACACTACGCAGAAGGAAACCCACCAAGACCCGCCCCTTAATTAAAGCAATTAAACAAGCATAATAAACTTAATCAAACAAGATTAAGGACAAGAATTATACCTTTGACGCGTGCTTCGCTCCCAAAGAGCTCTTACTTCAAAATCCCGAAAAGACGAGATCTCCGACGGATCGTACCCTCGACCCGACCCGAGCGTCCTAAGTCTTGAAGGTTAGTCAAGACCCGAACAAAATAACTATGAGTTTTACGAATCAAAGGTTTACTCTTTTCTAGAGTTGCCTTTTTAATTCCACTCAAGGTTGTTCATTTCCCAATACCCAAGCTTGGTATTTATAGGGAAATGAACCCTTGTATTTCATTCCCCAACCAATGTGGGAGAATGTTTATTTTGCTAATTAATTTATTTCTAAAATAAATTAATAAACAAAACTAATCACAATGCAACAAGTGTCAAATAGAGAGAGAAGGTTAGGTGAGGACCATGAATGGGTGGGGGGGACCATTGCCTTGCTCCTCAAGGCCTTGCCTAAGCTTGGTCCCCACCCCTAACCTAAACCGGCACCTCATGGACAGCTGAGCTGGCAGCCTGCCTTGGCTGCCAAGGTTGCCAGCTGGGGCCTAGCACCAAGGCTGGGCAGACAGCCAGCTTGGTGTGCTAGCAAGCAGTGCTAGCATGCACTGGCCTAGCACGCATCAGCCTTAGCACGCTGCGAGCTGCTGGGCGCTGGTGCTGCTAGCCTAGTGCTGCTGCTGCCTAGCACTCCCTCGCACACACTCTCGCACAGGGCCCCTCGCATAGGGCCTCTCGCACTGCCAGCCAGCTAGGCCAGCATGCGCATACCCAGCCAGCGCACTACGCACGCAAGGCCTAGCATGCGTGCTGCTAGCGAGCCACGCATGCTGGGCTTGGTGCTCCTTGCTAGCATGTTGTGCTTGGTTCTTCCATGCGAAGGCACGCACGCAAGCACACAGCTAGGTGCCTCATTGCGAGGCTGCTGGGCGACGGTGCACACACACACACGCATGTGCCTAGCACTGCGATGGTGTTGTGCATGATGCTAGGGTGTTGCGAGAGCGCCTATGCACACACACGTACACGAGGGTGCTGTGCTTGGTGCGATAGGGCTACGATGGTGCGAGGCATGCATGCACAAGCCCATGCGCCAGTGCCTAGCACTGCGATGGCTGTGCTTGGTGCGATGGGCTAGCGATAGCACCCATGAGCACCCAGGCACCCTCGCTAGCATGCTGCTAGCTGCGATGGGCTGCCTGGTGCTTGTGTGGCTTGCGATAGCTGCCATGCGCACCCAGGCACCCATGCTAGCATGCTTCTAGCTTGCGATGGGCTGCCAGGGCGCACCTAGGCTGCGATGGTGCCTAGCACACCATGGTGCGCCTAGCACACACATGGTGCGCTTAGGCTTGCTATGAACTAGCCTAGCATAGCTACGGCTACGCTCATACTTGTTGCTTGTGATTTTTCGACGCTCGGTCTCGACGCCCTAGGCTCGATTTCCGACGTCTGTATTCGTAAAACTCTGTCGACTCATTAAATCCTTTCGGATTAATTTGTCGTCTCGGATCGGAGATTCGATTGGGTTCGACCCGAAGGGTTCAGTTAAGATTAAGCTGTAATACCAATTGTACCTCGATATTACTGATCGGAAGCGGCCTCCACCTAGGCATTCCGATCACTTGACCTTACTGAAGAATTAGCTCTGTAATAATTCTGAACCCTCTATCGGAAGAATACACTTGTTGGAAGGACACCATTCCTTTCATCAACAACATTATTAATATTATTATTATTATTATTTTTCATAATTTAACAACAATTGTCTCATACTTTCGTGATTAAGAATGTGTACGTACCAATATTCTGACTTTATAGTGTACCGTTTGAGCTATGCGTGTGCGAAATTATTTCTAAAACTATTTTATGTTTGTGTTATCGATATTATGTTATCAACAATATATATTATTATCATTCTCATTGCTTGAGAATTATGTATTTAGTCATTCGTTACATTTTGGAGCCCAATTTTTCAATTTTGCAAAATCTTACGATTTTACGATTCGATTTTACCGATTCGATTCTACTTAACTATCAATCCAAGGTAGAATCCCGATTATGATAACTATACTATGCTATGTAGTTTGTAAGATTGTAAATATATGGTTAGCTATCTAGATTTATCTTATTTCACATCCTCATTATTTTTCGTCGACATACTTATAAAATTAAAAAAGGTGAAATAAATGTAGTTAACGTATACTAACAAATCGACATGAAGATATGACAAAGCTGCAATTATACAAGATATTAATATATACTAAGATATAACCATATAATATCATTAGTATTCTAAATATCTAGCATAATTAAATTTCTTACACTAAGAATGTCCCACAATCTTTTTAACAAAAGGAATTAAATTAAGTCATTTGAATAAGTCCAAACTTTTGGTAGGAAATTAAATTTTATGTGTTAGTATGTTAAAAGGTGAAAGTTTTACAATATAATTGATATATATTTTCAGCAACAAAAAAATATTTGTTGTAGTAGTAGATAACACATTCGTTTTATTTATTTATTTACTTTTAATTTTTTTTGTCCTAGCAATACCTTGCATATTTTATCTTTTATATCATATCAAAGGAGAGGTGAATTAGTAACTGAAAAATCATATAGCAAGCTTGAAAGATCATCATCCATGGATATCGTTTCCTCATATTGCTCCTTATTAGAGTTCTTCATCCCTATATACAATAAGTTAAACACTAAATCAATGTTAATATTTGTCAAAAAAATTAATCAATAGTACAAGCATATGGATAATCATTACTCTCTTTATCTTTTACTTACTTTCTACGCGCAAATTCTCAAAATTAGGTGATTTGGTAAATGAAAGAAAATGAGAACAAAGTAAGAAAGATGAATTAAATTAAGGGTGGATGCAAAAAAGATGGGGATAAGTAAGAGATAAAAAGTGCGTTAAAGATGTAAATATTATAGGGTTAACAAATAAGACTGTTAAATATGCTTTCTAAAATTACAATAAATTATAAGTGGATAGGAAAAAAAAACAAATAAAAATTGGTAGAATAGGGAAAAGTAGTATTATAATGTCCTAATTGAATGTCCTTTAACAACTACGTGAATAATCTATGTGAAGAAAAAATATTTATTAAATTTTGACTTTCCAAAAAAAAAAAAAAAAAACTAGTAGCATAACTTTCCAATTACTCCGTATTTAATTTCTATAAGAATAAGTAGTGTTTCCAATTATTTCATTAATACAAATTACAATATCATCATTTTAACGACATACATACATCATAAAGATTAGAAAATTTGCCAATTTTCAAAATAAAAATATTTTGTGTTCAAATAAAAAAAAAAAAAAAAAGGGACAATAACAAATACCAATTAATCTATTTTGGTCTTTTTGTACGATACTTGAATGATATGATAGAGGGACCTTATTAATACCAAAATTAGTGTAATGAAGTTGCTAAATTTCAAATACCATGATCATTATTATTTTATTTTATACTTCCTCCGATATTAAATAATTGCACCATTGATTTTGTACAATTTTCGATGAACTAGTTTGACCATAAATAGCTTTAATTGTGCATTAATAAAATTATACGTAGTAAATATTTGATGTTTTGAAAATACATATTGAGACGTTTCAAACACAATATCTCATTTGACAATATTTTCTTTTATATAATAATTCTATGGTAAAGTTTTTGAAGTTTGAAAACAGAAAGGTGCAATTATTTAGTAATTAAGGAAATATGATGTGTCAAAACATTACTCAATAAAGATGGACTTAAAGTTGTAATTTTTTTACTACAAAAGTTTTACGTATAGGTTTGTTTACATTAAGGTAATTGGAATAAATTACATAGGCTAAATTATTCCAATTATATAATTCCTTTTTTTTTTTTTTTTAATCGCAACATTTGAGATTTTGCCACTATTAATACAAGCTCTTTTAACCGCTTTTTGTGATTTATATGTTAGTAAAAAACATAGTTGTGAAATTCATCTTGATTTTCTCAAAATTAACTTTTATTAATTTTTACTTATGTATAATTAATGATATTAATGGTATAAAATATGCATTGTTAAGTGTGAAAACTCTAACATGCATTGGTAGGTTTCCAGTTTTAATTTAAAAAAAGGAAATCAAATCAAACAAAAACTAAATTAAATAGCATTAAAAGAAACATTAGTATCTATAGTTGTAAAATTACAAAAATGTCACTAATGATGCATGATACATCTTAGGCATCAGATTATGATGATCTTAGGACGCAGATTGTTTCATTGTTTATACATGTATGTACCAACAATTACTTCACCTCTAATCTATACAAAAATTAAAAGTGATATAATAACTAGTTATTAACAAGTGTCTATGTCCACGTTTTAACTATTTGACTTATATCTACATTTAAAGTGTATTTTCAATGTCCCGATTTAATAGTCACACTAAACTTTGCATAAAGTATTATTTGATAAGTTGTTGTTGACTAATCTATTGTATTTTAAATATAATACTAGTGAGATCATGTAATGAAAATAAGTGTGAATAATAGATTTGGACAGGCGTGAAATAAATGTGTGACTATTATATTTTGATAAAGGGAGTAACTTTTACCTACAACTTTTGATTTCTACCCACTCTTTTTTACTCGTGGGAAAACATGATCAAACTTTCTTAAAAGGTAAATTAAAAATGAACAAAGAATGAATAGATAAATTTGAAATATTAAGACCGTATGAAAACATACCAATTGAGAATAAATTAGAATTGTGTTCATCCAATAGTCTTGAATCATCCACATTGTTGTCCAACGAAATCATGGTCATTACTCCATCTTTTCCATTTGGATCATTATATATATTTGATTTCTCTTCATTGATAATTGATGAATTTTGTTCTGCTGAGTTGATCCCAATTGACCATGAGGTGCGCATGTTATTGAATCTATTGTTTGTATAGGAAACAACATTTGAAGGAAATGTTGCAAGTAAGTTTTCCTCCTGAATCATTTGATGTAAAGGAAGTGATGTTCTATTGCTTGTTAACATACCATTGTCAACAAAGTTTTCAGTGAACATACTACTTGACGCCTCAAAAGAATTGTCCCTGTGGCTGCGGTTGGTGATAGATGTAATGTTGGAATTAGGTGTCAATGAGAACTTAGGAATTATGGGAAAAGTTATATCAAAACTATTAGCATCATATTGTGTTGCTTCATTTTCAAGCATAAGTTTGGATTTATAAGCTGGATTATTGAGGAAAGACGAAATTGGATCATTAATTCCAATTGAGTTTATGATATTGTAACCCGAATTAGATAAAACATCTGACACTGGATATGATGTTGGGGTTGAGAAAGGAGAGGTAGAAGAATGTGAAGTAATAGGTAATGAAATTGACAATTCTTGATAAATATGATTTTGTGGATTTTTTCGATGTTGGAAATGATGACCAAACTTTCCAATTTGTTTGAGGTTGTTTCCTTCTGAGTTTAATATTGATGCTTCAGCTTTTATCCTCCTTTTGATTTTTGTGTTCCAAAAATTCTTCACCTCGTTGTCTGTTCTTCCTGGTAGCTATGAATATTATGAAAAGTAAACTCATGTTACTAAAGTAACATATATATTGAAACAAATCAGCAATATTTACCTATAAAATTATATAATATAATTCAATTATACCTCAGCTGCAATTTTTGACCATTTATTACCAAGCTTAGCATGTAGTTCGAGAACAATTCTTTCTTCCTCAGGGGAGAATGCACCCTTTTTTAGATCCGGTCGCAAATGATTTGTCCATCTAAGTCGACAACTTTTTCCACATCTTATTAATCCCATATTTTGCACACAATTCCAATGTCTTTCTCCATGTTTTTGGACGTAGTCAATTAATAGAGCATCCTCCTCAGCCGTCCATGGCCCCCTTTTGAATGTGCGTTCATTGTTATTGCTATCTGTATTGCCGCATATATTTCCATGTTCATCTCCACTGCCACATTTTCGACAACTTCTAATGATGCTTTTTTTCTTGGATGAAGCTGTTTGTTGGTGATAATCCATAGAAAATTCATCCTTCTTCTTTATCATCCTAGGCATATGACCTCCAATTGTGGAAAATATACAACCTTCCCCCCCCTTTTATATTGATTTATTGTTCTCTTTTACCTCTTGTTATCTTTTTTTTTTTTTTAGTCAGTTAGATCTAATTCATGCTATGATTTATCAAATGTACATGTACATAATCATATCCTCTCCTCTCATTGTATTAGAGAGGAGAGAAGATGACGGAAAACAAGATTTGGCTTACCTTTCTTGTTTTTGTCTTTCACTATAGTTTGTATTTTTTATTTTCAAGATTTTAATAGAAAGAAAATAAAAAAATAAAAAAAAGGAAAGTGAAAAGTGCAGGGTTATTTTTTTGTTCTTTTTTATTTCTTTTGGGTTGTAATGAAGGAGAAGATAAAGAATATGTAAAAAGAAAAAACGCGTTTAAGTCTCTAAAGGAGGATGAAAGAGAGCTATTAGATAATGATGAGTATTTAAAGGAGAAAGCATTGATTTCGCTTCCGAACTATCTGGTATATGGTACAATTCGTATAATTTGTATTGGCAAATCACCCATTAATTTATCAAACATAAAAGTTGTACTCATAAATCTTCTTAATGAGGTTTGTAAAAATAAAAAAATTAAATATATAATTACACAAATCATTATTTCTTTAGTCTTGAAAAAAAGGGTATTATAGAATTTTTGTTATACAAACTACTATTTATGTTCTACTTTTTTTTTTTCTCTTAACTTATAAATTGAAACTCCACTTAATGAATTTCATGTTTAGCTTTTCATACAGAAGAATGATGTCTTTATGCTATAAATCTAATGTGTGCCCATCATTTTAAAGTCATTACTTTAATTTAAATTTGTTAATAAAATAAGAAATTGATTATTAGTGCCCTACAACATTTTAAACTCCAAGGTGAAATTTGTACGCTAAAAAATGCAGTGCTTAAATGATGAGCATCGATTATTATTTTTTGGTTACCCTAAAATAGTAAGTCACATTCTAAACCATTAGCCTACATTATCATTACAAATAATCTTGAATAATTAAAAAATTACAAAAAGAAAAAAAAAGAAAAAAAAAAAAAAGAAAAATGGTTGTTTGCATTTGGCATATTTATATTTTGTTTTAATTGAAGGAAACATACTCAAATTACAATTAGTATGTCTTCTCACAAGACTAAAACCTTTCTATCAAAAGTAAAAAATAAGAAAATTTATTGGCTATACAAGTTTTATAGTTGATGAGATGTACTAATTACAAAGTTAACTTTCATCAAAAAAACAAAAAAAAAAAGTTAACTAATTAAAACAAAGGAACTTTGACAAAATCCATAATTTGAGGGCTTGTTTGGCATAATTTTTTATTTTCGGTTTTAAGATTTTTTGAAAACAAAAAACAAAAACAAGAAACGAGAAAAAAGTGTTTTCACTACTTTCCTGTTGTCAGTTTTCAAAATTATCGTGATTATAATAAATTTGACCAATTTTTGATTTATTATAATCATTATGGCAGTTACTTTGTTAGTGCTATATATAGGGGTTACTCACCCGGTAAGGGGTTACTAAGTCGGTCAGGGGTTACTCGGTCGGTCAAGGATTACTCACTCGGTCAGGGGTTACTAAGTCGGTAAGGGGTTGCTCACTCGATTAGGGGTTACTAAGTCGGTTAGGGGTTACTCACTCGGCCAAGGGTTATTAAGTCAGTCAGGGCTTATTCACTTGGTCAGGAGTTACTTGGTCGGTCAGGGGTTATTTTGCCGATTAGAGGTTACTCGGTCAGAAGTTACTCGTCGATCAAGGGTTACTTGGTGTGTATCGGCTGGCCACATGGTGTGGCAAGCTACACATAAAAGTTGCTGATGATTAAAGACAATTTTACAAAAAGACTTAACTAAATTACAACAATCCTTCAATATGTGGACACACTCACCTCCTTGATATATATAACTAGCATATCTGATGGCTTCGATGCATGCTTGATTATCCATTTGTACTACTAGCTTTGTGATACCCTTCTCTATGACCATTCGAAAAACCCAATTCAAGAGCCAAAATTTCTACCTTGTATGCATTACACATTCCAAATTGAAGGAAGTCAATGTATATATATCAGAAAAATGATATTCAATAAGTGTAAAATTAAACTCCAAGGTGAAATTTTTTTTGGAAGAAATTAAAACCTGAATTAATATTGACCTTCATTTTTTTTCTTTTTTAGTTAAACATAATTACTTCGATTCATGTAATTATTTATTTCATTAATTGTTAAGAACTTTCTTTTAAAAGGGTGAGCTGTAAGCATGACAATTTTTTTTTTATTTGTAATGCAACAAAATAAAATATAAATATGTCTTCAATTTAATCAATTTGATGATTTTACTGTACAAAAACTCAATTTAATCAATATGCGATTACGAGTATTATCTATCAATTTGTTGTCATTAGTTCATTATTTAATGTCTCACCTCTGCAGGTATGATAAGTCATCAATAATTCGATTTTAATTTGACTTAAAGATAAAAATGACACAAGAACTGGTCTAATGCTAAATTAATACTCCATAAGTGTTAATGATATGATATTAAAAATAACACATGAATGACATGATAGTTACTCAACAATAAGTTAATAGCTCAATAATTACTCTAGTTTTAGAATGACCTTATTTGAATATTGAATTTGGTCATCTAACCAAATTCAGCAAACCCAAAGAGGATCCCCAATACTGAATCAACCTAATTCTAATGTGTAATACCCCGTATTTTTATACGTATTTTAATTTAAATTATTATTTTATGAAGTATTTAAATAATTTGAAATGAATTATATATGGTATTTTATTAATTTAAAAAGAATTATTTTAGTTAAAGGTCCATTTTTATTTATTTAATTGTTTTGAAAATATTTTATTTTATTATTTAGAAACTTTGGGGCACATTATTTTATAAAAGGAAATTTAAAGTCAATGGTATTTAAGGAAAGTCAAAGGACTAGTTTGAATAGGAGAAGGGATCATTAAGCTTAGGAGGGTTTTAGAGAGAGGGTATAAATACCCATCACTTGGGCAAATTAGATCTTACCCAAGGTGGAGAATACCCAAAGATAAACTCTCTCTCTCTCTCTTTCTATCCTCTTATTTTTTCTCTCTCCCTTAATTTTTCCCCTCCCCCTTTTAATTTTTTTTTCACACACCACCACCACATACATCAAGGTGGTCGGTTGCCACCCCCACCACAGCCGACCACCGCCGCCAGCACAGGGCCGGCAACAGCAGCAGCCGTGGGAGGTGGCGTCAACCACCTTCCCTTCTCCCCTTGTGTGCGTGTGTTTTGTTTTTTACAAAAAAAAAACATTTCGTCTTTGTTTTTTTATTTAATTATTCTAGATTTGATTCAATTTTTATTTTTTGGTTGTGTGATGATTTTTATGATGTTAGATTATAATTAAGAAAATTTCACTTTTTCTACCACCAAAACACACGTATTTCACTTTTGCTACTTGTTTAAAATTTTATTTTATTTTACTACCACACAAAAACACCTTTGTTAAAATTTGCTACCTATAGGAAACGTCTGTTACTGTAGCCGTTTGGAGGCCCCAGTTCAACGACTCTTTTGTCATTCTCCTCTCTTTAAATAACTACTTCTAACCTATTTTCTCCAATGTTCCACTCTTACAGAAAACATAAACAAAAATCAATCAATTCCCTTTAAACGAAAAACGAATTTTGTTGGAAAATTTTACAAATTCAATCAATTACGAAGCCATTTAACTCAGATGGTGGACATTGCGTTCGAAATTTAGAGCTATTAAGGTGAGAACCTTAAATTAAGTCAATTAATTCCTTTATGCAAAACCAATTAGAAGATTAAATTACACTTTACCTTCAAATTATTGCTGGTTAATTATATTTGTGAGTGTGTAAGAATGATACAGAATCTGAATTTGATTTTCAATTGGTAGTTAATTTCATTCAATTGAATTAGGGTTCATATCCCAATTGAAATTAGGGGTTTTCAATTGGGATATGCATGGACGAAATTGATGGTGATGTTTGGTAAATAATGAATGTATGAATGTAATTGTTGATAAATTTGGTTGAATTGCAGGCTAATAATGTCATTGATTAGGTGTTCTCCCTCCAAACAGAGGAAGTGTGACTGTGGGATTCCTATGGCTAGGCTGACATAATGGACAAAAGAGAACCCTGGAAGGAAGTTTAAGGCCTGCAAATTCTATGATCCTAAAATAGAAAGTAGGGGTTGCAAGTGCTTTGAGTGGGTGGATGAGGAAGAAGGCACTGAGTGGCAAAGGAATGTAATTAATCAACTTCTACTGGACAAAAAATTGATGAAGGGAGAAATCAAATCACTGCAGAGAGAAGTTGAAAATTTAAGTGGGCAAAAAAGGTATTTGCTAACTGAGAATGACAACCTGCTAGTGAAGTGCAAACCTCTAAGTTCTGAGAGGAAGAAATACAACAAGCAAGGGCAACAAATCTATGTTGGTGGATGCACAACTGTCCTAGCAATTACCAGTTGTTGTGTTTTTCTGACTGTACTTGTTTTAATTGTATTCAAATGAGATTAGGGTAGTGCAAGTGGGTCAGAGGTAATGATTGTGTATTTAGATGATGTTGGTTTAAGACAACAACTTCCATATGTAAGATTTTGAATTATTATGAATGAAAGTTGCAATGTTATTTTGTAGTAATAAAATATTCTTCCTTTTCATAGCAGTTTAAGCACTAAAGTGCATGGAAAACATCAAAGTTGCAATGTTATTTTGTAGCAATAAAATAATCTTCCTTTTCATATCAGTTTAAGCACTAAAGTGCATGGAAAACATCAAAGTTAAATTCTGATACTTAGTTGTTACAGACAATTTTTAGTGTCAAATCAAAGTTCACCTAAAAAAACTAGTAGCATAGTTGTAGAGTACATTAAACACATGGATAAAAGTCTGGGTACTTAAAAAACTAGTGCTACCTAATTTTTCTTCTTTTCCCTTTCCCTTGCTTGGTTGTTGAGTGTGTTGTTGATGTTGTTGTTGTTGATGCCTGGGATGCTTGGGTGCAGGCTGCAGGTTCTTGGGATGGTCTCTCTTGAGGGAATTTGTTGTTAGCTATGCTCCATGGACCAGGAGTTCCTCCAGTGTGTATTAAAAAAAATTAACAACAAGAAGAAAAACCATCAAAATCTAACAGTTTATGCAAGTCAGAAATACTTGGGCAGGATAATTTATACACCTTCCAAGCAGCCCTTTCCTTCTTCCTCCTTCTTTGTACCTTCATCCAATCATTTTGCAAAACTGGTTTGCATGCTTTGTTGGCCTTAGGTGGTGCTACAGGAGCTTGCATTGGTGCATTGCCACAAGTCTTGCCATAATGACCAAGTTGTCCACAATTGCCACACCTCTTTTGTCTTTTCTGTGCTTTTGGTTGTCTGCCACTGCACTTAGGTGCTCCCTCTCCTCTCTGCAGCTTTCTTTTCTTTTACTTTGGCCTCCTAGGAATAACTCTTACTGTTAGAGGCAGGGGCTCTCTGAGATGATTCTTCTCCCAGTGCTTGGGTCCAGGCATAGGCTTCACAACTTCCTCATATGCATACATATATGTGTCCCTTGTGTAATACACATCCACAAAGTCTTCTGGGTCCACCCTCTTGTCCAATATGCATGCAAACCCATGTACACATGGAATACCAGTTAACTGCCAATGGTAACATGTACAAGTCCTCTTACCTAAGTCAACTAGAACTGTATCACCATTGAGCTCAACCTCATAGGAGTCTCCTCTTAAAACCTGCTCTATGTAGTGCCTTGCAGCCCACTCAATCCTCTCAAAAAGCTTAGTCACATAGTTGCATTAGCTTCCCATCCATTTTCTTGGCAGCCTCCCATTTCTCATTATGCCTCTTCATCATATACCTTCTTATCCACTCCATCTGAGTGAGTATTGGTTTGTCCCTTGCATCTCTTATAACAACATTGAATGTCTCACAGACATTGTTCAATAGCATATTTGATTTGCAATCGGAAGAAAATGCATGTCTAGACTAGTGCTTAGCAGGAATGTTATCTAGATACACATATGCATCTTCAGACATGAATTTTATTGATTCCATTGCCACCTCAAAGTCAACCTACCACATCAAATAAAAAACAGCAGAACAAAATCAATATTTCATGTACCAAAACTGACCAATGTGTCCAAACTCAGCCAAAAGTAGAAAAATGAAACAAAGCACATTGAACTCATGTGACAACATTGACATTCAAATCAGTCCACAAGGTTGACATCAAAGATTAAGCAAGCAAACATTCAACTCAGTTTAAGCAATCACTAGGCGAAAATTGCTAATCAGCACTGGTTCAAAACCCCCATTTCGCACCGATTTTGAACCGATTGTGATTTGAGGGATGCCAAATCCCAAGACTTTTCGCACTGGTTCTTGATGTGAACCGGTGCGAAAAATTCCCCAAAAATATTTTAAAAAAACTTTTAGCACCGGTTCTTGCTGTGAACCGGTGCCTAAAGTGGCCCAAAAAAATTTTAAAAAAAACTTTTTGCATCGGTTCTGTTTCAAAACCGGTGCTAAAAATGCCCTAAAAAAATAAAAATAAAAAAATAAATTTTGCATTTTTTCACTTAAATTGATATATAAACACTAACATATATATATTAAGTTACATATTTTTATTAAAATAGGTTGTAATATTACAATTTTCGTCCAAAAAAAAATATACAATAAAATAAAATACAAGGTTACACACAAATAGAATAAAATAAAATACAAGGTCTTTTAGTAACTTCTATGACACCAATTACACCTCGACCCATGTCAGCACTGTGAACCAGCAGATGACTTTTGATGAGCACATTTTCCACATTTCCAATTGCTCTACGATTAAATTTATATATTTCATATATTATAGTCAAGATAATACCTTCATTATTCTTCAATAAGTTGACACAGATAAGGCCAGCAACCAAGAAAGTGGGAAAAATTGTGACCAGGATAATTCAGTTTTCCCCGTCTACCAGATGCAGCATTTGAGCCTCTTCCATGGGTATGCAAAGCATTCTGTCCTCCAGCGCCACCATCAACCATATCTTCCCATCTGGTTTCAGGTAACAGAAAAACATTTAGGTGTATGCATAGAATAGGATAGCAGGCTTTGACAACTACATTGTACAAGAGCAAAAACTTAATAACCTAACAAAAAATAAAAGCTCCCTCTTTATACTATTTCCTTAGATAAAATCTATAGGTGTGCTGCACCTAGTGGTTTGCATATATCTAATTTGGATAAAAGTTGAAACTTATCAGTCAATCACATTCTGAAATAAGGATCTACATAAGAATAGGACTGCATATGAGACACCCACTAACCAAATCTTGGTGGGTGACTTGCTTAAGGCTATGAGGTAATAAAAACGGGCAGCTGTTATTTACACATGAAGAAGTACTAACACAATCACATGCCCACACCATCTAAATAATGTTTGGAAGGGAAAAAAGGGTCTGGGTGGGGATACTGGGCCTTGGGACAAGGCAGGTTCAGGAACTCACCATTCAAAAAACTGGGAAAACAGAATATCTTAAGCACAAATTTGAGATTCGGTACATACAATAAAAAATCTGCACTCCTGAGATTGACATGAGTAAAACTTTCTGCCCCTATTATTTACAGTATTCGCTGTTCGCAATACGTAGGGTTCTCCACACGAACTACATGATACTGAGGAACTCTCTGTAACAGTAGAGCATTAAAAGTCAGAAAATAGTTTATGTATATCCACATTAGCAAAAGTTGATTTTAAGAACATTTAAGACACTAAACTATACAAAAGCACCACTAGGAATAGACCCTTGAATCTTGTGAGAATAGACTTCTATCACTCAAATTTGACATTCAAATATCATTGTTTTTGTCCCTAATAACTTCTTGGTTAATTATTTTGCAATCGCAGGTTGAGCCTCTTTGACAAAGGAGATTATTATTTTGTTTTCATTAAATTGTGACAAGAATAGTACACAGTACGAATTTACACTTGAACCAATGATGAAAACTGTCATCATTCCACATAGAAAATATAAAAGCATTAAAAAAAAATAGAAGCAACAAAGATCAAATTCCAAATTACACTTGACACCTGAAGAAAGCAATTACAATGTCTTGATGCATCTAAAAAGAAGCTAATAAAATAGTCTCACAGTGAAGTTGTAAAAAGCTTGATGTAAACAAAGCCAGAAAACTTTTATCATTCCATAAATTTGTAAAAATGACCACAAGGTTTTTTTTTTTTTTTATTAGACTAGCCATCCAGGAAGAAGAGAATGCTCTGCCTACCAATTATTATAAGAAACACCGTAAGGATATCTAGTCATTAACTACAAACTCCATTTTTCCTTTTGAGATAACTCTGCAATAACACATGCCTAAAGAAGAAAACCTGGTTGTTATTGAGCTACTAGAAGTCAAGAACAGATGAATGGAACTTTAATTGTGATTAAAAACAAATCTCAGACTGAAGAATATGTTACTCGAGTCCTTGAGGTATCCTTTAAGCTAGAAGTACAGAATTGAAAGAGCAAAGGAATAAGTAATTACACAAAAAATTTCTTAATAACAATAACCTCTCCCATTTCAAGCGCCTAGAATGCCTCTTTGTATTGTTGTGCTCTCATTAGCTGCTTCCCTTTGTATGCAGCAAAGACCCATCATTATTTCCCTGTCATATACATAATATAAGGAAATTCCGCACATGCGTTGCTTCTCAACAATTGAAACTAATTAAAGAGAGACTTCCACATGGTGCATACAGTAGCTTGCAATCAGCAAACACATACCTTTGATCTGTCAGAACCCATATTAAGCTTCTGCCCTCTTTGATCCTCAAGCTCAATGTTGTAGTCATTAATAGGTAGCAATCCATCAGCATGTCTCTTGACAAGCATAGCAACAACCATCCTGATATTTTTAAATAGGAAAAGAAAATTTTCAGGCATTAAGCTTTCAATTCTCACAAACATTACTAAAGAAGGCACTTCTTCACAGCTTCCTTGGAACAGATAAATTATTAGGCTATGTACATAATATACAAAGTTTTTTAGTTAAATTATGTCTATTTTATTTATAATAATCTTAATTGGTAACACATGGTGAAGTTAATATATATACTCAAAATTTCAAATATTCAGAAACCAAACTCAAAAATAAACCAAACTCAAAAAGCTAGACATCAACTTGCTCACGTTAGCTGGGGAGCAGTAATTTAGTCAAACAGGGAGTTGTAATATACAATAAAACTAACATAAACTAAACTAACATATATAGTCACTAACATATAATAAAACTAACATAAACTAAACTTTTTTTAAACGAGATTTAATGTTATAATGAACTTCTATGGAATACTATAGTTTCATCCCCAAAACACCCCAAAAATAAAATCATTTTGTACCATTTTTTCTATTTATAACTAACACATATATAAAACTATAAGAGCATTGGAAAAAATAACCACTAACCTTTGAATTTGAACTCTTTTTTGAGGAGCAAACAAACTAAATCTACAATTCCTACAAATGATCGGATAAAAAAATTAAAATTAAAAAACTAAGGGTTTATGGTTAATTAATTGAAACTAAATTAAAAAAAAAAATAGGTGGAAGGCATACCTGCTAGTCAGTGGGTGGTCTAAGTCGTTACATGGCCGGCGGGTGGGTGGTCTGAGGTGGTGGATCTAGGCGGCTGAGCAATTGAGGGTTAGGGTTAGCAATGTAGGATCAAAAATGAAAAAAAAAGGAAAAACAATTACCTGGTGGTCGATGGCCGACGCACGAAGAACGGCTGAGGGGAACGGAGGGTGGCTGACGAAGGGTGAGTGGCGGCGGGTAGGACCTACTCTCTCCTTCTCCTACTTATTTTGTTCCACAAAAAATAGAAATAAAACTAGAACCCTAAAATTACGAAATTGAAAACCAAATCAACGACAAACCCTAAATTGCGAAGGAATTCGGTAGATTAAGAAGACCACAACAAAAATCTTACCTCAAAGCTGCTTCAATGGAGGTGAGAAAGCTCATAATCCGCTTCAATGGAGAATAAAGAGCACGCGTTCAATGGAGGAGAGATATGGAGAGAGAAGGAGGTGTAGCTGCTTCAATGGAGTGAGAAAGCTCATAAACAGCTTCAATGGAGAAGGTGGGAATTCGGAGGTGGTGGAAAAGAAGGCGAGAACGAGGGAAAAAAGAAGATAGAAAAGCAGGGGGAAAGAAAGGAAGAAGAAGAAATACGCAACCCGGTTTTTTTTTTTAATTTCGCACCGGTTTGAACCGGTGCTGAATCACTATTTGGCACCGGTTTGGTTTGAACCGGTGCGAAATCCCTCTCTCCCCCTTTTTTTCTCTTTTTTAATTCACACCGGTTTATTAGGAACCGGTGCGAAGTCTTTTTCCCAATCCCGCCCATTTCTTTTCCCATCGGTTTTCAAGAACCGGTGCGAAAAGTGCGGTGCCTACTTCATTTTTTCTACTAGTGAATCAATCAAAGTTTAAGCATTTCACACATTCAACTCAAGTTTAGTGACTCACCAATGTTGTAGCCTTAGTAGCATTCCAGAAGAACTCTTTGAAGGTTGATCCACTGAATTGAAGCTTGAAGTTGGCCCAGATATGCCTGACAGGACCTCTTCTCAGCAAATGGGACTTGCAATTCAAAGGCTTCAAGGAGACCCTGTATTAACAATCATCACATTAGTGCATAACTAGTCATATCATATTAGTTACTATAAATAGTCTAATTAGGGCATATAAGCTCGCCTTTTGTTTGTCAGACATGAATGTCTAACCACCACCTTCAGACACATCATCAAGGTCCTTTTTCAAACACTCCAAGAATAAGCACCATGTGTCCTTATTCTCCACTTCAACTGTAGCCCAGACAATTAGATATATGTTATTGTTTCCATCTTTTCCAACAGCCACAAGTATTTTTCCTAGGTAGGCTCCCT